TTTTTTTTTTTTTTTTTTGCAGTACGCGGGCCTCTCACTGTTGTGGCCTCTCCCGTTGCGGAGCACAGGCTCCCGACGCGCAGGCTCAGGCTCAGCGGCCATGGCTCACGGGCCCAGCCGCTCCACGGCACGTGGGATCCTCCTGGACTGGGGCACAAACCCGTGTCCCCTGCATCGGCAGGCCGACTCTCAACCACTGTGCCACCAGGGAAGACCAGAGTGCACTCTTAATCAATAGTCTGTAAAGATTAAAGAGCTGACTAATGAACGTGAATAAGAGAGTTCTTTGCTCATATTAGAATTAAAAATAAGAATAGTTATTATCTTTTGCAAAACAAACGGCACAGTATATCTTATAGTTTTTGTTTGTTTGTTTGTTTTTTAACTTTATCAAAGCCCTTAAGGTAACATGTGCACAATGTGACATCTTTTGGCTTGAATTTTCCATTCTCTTCCATTTGTTGCTGGTGGCTAGAGCTTTTCACCTTGATGTATCCAAACCATCGTTTTCTGGCTGTGTCCCCTGGAATCCTGTAGCCTTTTTCTGGTTCTGGTTGACTGAGGATACAAACACAGTGATCAGATGCTTCTGAAAGCCTCAGAGATTCCAGTGGGATCCTTCAGACTATAGTAAAGGCAGAATTGCCACATTTGCTGAAACATGTGACTTCTAAACATGTCTGCCTCCCATACAGATTAAGGATGAGTGTGACCTTAATAGGCTACATGTTATACCTGTAACCCAAAGTGGGTCCAGCTGCTCCCCGCTCAAAAGCCATTAAAGAGGCAAGTTTAGTGAAAAGGAAAGCTTGCTTTATTTTGGATGCCGACAACGGGGCAGGTGGAGGGGGAGGGGGGAACTCCTATCCAAAGGGCCGACTTCGCCCCCACCCACCCCTGACAATCAAGGGCAAGAGTTTTTATAGGCTGAAGGAGGGGGCTACATATAGAAACAGCACAATCAGCTCTGACAGTCATCTTGAAATGGGTTTTCGGTGGTCTGAACAGTGTCATCTTGATTGTTTTAAGTACAATTAATCCTCAGTTCCAGGGTTGGTTTGTTCCCATTTTCTTGAGGCCAATTCTTGGAATCATGGCAGCTTATGTCATGGCTACAGTCTGGTCATCATGTAAACTCCTTCCACCTGCTGGGGGTTTTAGTATCTATAAGACAATCACAGGATATGGCTCAGAATATCATCTGTAGTCTTTGAGAAGGAACTAAAGGTCCTTGACTTTGCTTACGGACTAAACTACTATTGTTTTCTCCTGTTTGACTGATTTTCTTTGCTTCTGAATTTTCTCACTTCTCTGATTAAACTTATTCTTTGTCTAAAGTTTTTCCACAGACAAAAGGCAGGCTGAGGACAAGGGGGGCAAGGACCATAGGGTCCTGCTCTGTTTCATACCCATTTAGGATTATTCACTGTCCAGGCATGTAATATTCTCAAGGAAAAGCTTAGGCACAGCTCTTTTTTGAGACTGGGAATGTCAGCATCTTTATTTGTCCAGCTTCCTGAACAAAGCACCTCTTAGAAACTACGACTTGAGAAAACGTATCACAGTGAGTAAAGTGCAGAATTGTTTACTTGAGCCCCTCAAAAATTCTGACAATCTCAGAGACTTTCACATAGTCAATGCCCCAAAATGTTTGTTAAATGACTTGCCATTGAAATCAAAACATAATGAACACCCTCTTGTGTTTTTTTGCGGTATTGCAAAATTTAGCATTCGTTAGTTGGGAAAAATATCATCCCTCTGTTATAAACGGTATGATTAAGCACCGGGTTTTGCCAATATAAATTTGTTCAGTGCTTTATTAATTACAAAGTAAACATTTTTGCAGACACTAAATCATTTTAAGCCTCAACACAACTTCCCTATCAGGTAGGACTTTAAGATGAAAAAACTGAGGCTTGATTACAATAAATGTCTTAGCCGAGGTCACACATACATTTACATTGAATCGTATCTCTTTGTGCTACAGAAAGACAGAAAACCAGTAGGCAGTTGTGCTGCAGAAAGGGTATTATCCTTCTAGCTGGGGATCACTTGCTATCTGATCTTGTGATAAATCTCTGCACGTGAGTTTTCTTATTTATAAAATGTGGATGATATTGACAATATTAATGATAACTCCCTAAATTTTTTGAAGAAACTATAATTATTTTTATTGAAAAATGTGAAAGTGAAATATTATATTTATTGCATTATTTTTCAAATATCTTTATTGGAGTATAATTGCTTTACAATGTTATGTTAGTTTCTGCTGTATAGCAAAGTGAATCAGTTATATGTATACATATATCCCCATATCCCTTCCCTCTTGTGTCTCCCTCCCACCCTCCCTATCCCACCGCTCTAGGTGGTCACAAAGCACTGGGATGATCTCCCTGTGCTATTCGGCTGCTTCCCACTAGCTATCTATGTTACATTTGGTAGCGTATACATGTCAATGCTACTTTTACTTCGTCCCAGCTTACCCTTCCCCTCCCCGTGTCTTTAAGTCCATTCTCTATGTCTGCATCTTTATTCCTGTCCTGCCCCTAGGTTCATCAGAGCCATTTTTTTTTTTTAGATTCTATATATATGTATGAGCATACAGTATTTGTTTTTCTCTTTCTGACTTACTTCACTCTGTATGACAGACTCTAGGTCCATCCACCTCACTACAAATAATCAGTTTCGTTTCTTTTTATGGCTGAGTAATATTCAATTGTATATATGTGCCACATCTTCTTTATCCATTCATCTGTCGCTGGACATTTAGGTTGCTTCCGTGTCCTGGCTACTGTAAATAGTGCTGCAATGAATATTGTGGTACATGACTCGTTTTGAATTATGGTTTTCTCAGGGTATATGCCCAGTAGCGGGATTGCTGGGTCATATGGTAGTTCTATTTTTAGCTTTTTAAGGAACCTCCATACTGTTCTCCATAGTGGCTGTATCAGTTTACATTCCCACCAACAGTTCAAGAGGGGTCCCTTTTCTCCATACCCTCTCCAGCATTTATTGTTTGTAGGTTTTTTGATGATGGCCATTCTGACCGTGTGAGGTGATACCTCACTGCAGTTTTTTTTTTTTTTTAACATCTTTATTGGAGTATAATTGCTTTACAATGGTGTGTTAGTTTCTGCTTTACAACAAAATGAATCAGTTATATATATACATATGTCCCCATATCTCTT